TTATAGGAAAGGTTTTCTTGTTTGGTGGAGGATCTCTGAAATAAAGTTGTAATCAAGTGATTGATAAACTTTTTTAATTTTTTTATTTTACTTTAATTTCTGGGATACATGTGCAGAATTGTGCAGATTTGTTACATAGGTATACATGTGCCATGGTGGTTTGCTGCATCTATGAACTTATCATCTAGGTTTTAAGCCCCACATGCATTAGGTATTTGTCCAATGCTCTCCCTCCCCTTGCCCCCCAACCCCTCGACAGGCCCTGGTATGTGGTGTTCCCCTCCCTGTGTCCACGTGTTCTCATTGTTCAACTCCTACTTATGAGTGAGAACATGTGGTATTTGGTTTTCTGTTCCTGTGTTAGTTTGATGAGGATGATGGTTTCCAGCTTCATCCATGTCCCTGCAAAGGACATGAACTCATTATTTTTTATGGCTGCATAGTATTCTGTAGTGTGTGTTTCCCACATTTTCTTTATCCAGTCTGTCATTGATGGGCATTTGGGTTGGTTCCAAGTCTTTGCTACTGTAAATAGTGCTGCAATAAACATACATGTGCATGTATCTTTATAGTAAAATGGTTTATAATCCTTTGGGTATATACCCAGTAATGGGATTGCTAGATCAAATGGAATTTCTGGTTCTAGATCATTGAGGAATCAACACACTGTCTTCCACAATGGTTGAAATAATTTACACTCCCACCAACAGTGTGAAAGTGTTCCTATTTCTTCACATTCTCACCAGCATCTCTTGTTTCCTGACTTATTAACGATCACCATTCTAATTGGCATGAGATAGTATCTCATTGTGGTTTTGATTTACATTCTCTAATGACCAGTGATGATGAACTGTTTTTCATATGTTTGTTGGTTGCATAAATCTCTTCTTTTGAGAAGTGTCTGCTTACTCACTTTTTGATGGAGTTGTTTGTAGGAGATCAGTCAGAGTGGTAGGAGAAAGCACAGGGAAAAGAACAGCTCTTCTGAAAGATGAAAAGGCTCTGCATAGCTTCAGGTAGAATAGATGAAGGCAGCTGTTCTCTGACCCTGAGCCAGAGGGCAAGAATATGCACAAGGGAGGGAAGGGGAAGTCATCATGAACAGGCTTGTTTACTTATATTGACCAGGAGCTGACCTTTGATCATACCTGCTTGATGTTCCCTGAAAGGGGAACAATAAATATTAATTACCTACAGATTATGTGGGCTCCAGGTTTTCAGCATTGTGCCTGCACTGAATAAAAGCATGCAGCTCCAGCTTCTCAAGGCTACACTCTGGCCACTTAAGCCAGACAGTCCCCTAGCTGCTCTTACACTGCATACCTGTATATGAGTACTCATTTCATCCATTGGCCAGGGTCTGCAGGACAGACCCAGTAGTTTGTTGTTGTTGTTGTTGTTGTTGTTGTTGTTGTTTTGTAAATTTGTTTAAGTTCCTTGTGGATTCTGGATATTAGACCTTAGTCAGATGGATAGATGGCAAAAATTTTCTTCCATTCTGTAGGTTGCCTGTTCACTCTTATGATAGCTTCCTTTGCTGTGCAGAAGCTCTTTAGTTTCATTAGGTCCCATTTGTCAATTTTGGCCTTTGTTGCCATTGCTTTTGGTGTTTTAGTCATGAAATCTTTGCCCATGCCTATGTCCTGAATGGTATTGCCTAGGTTTTCTTCTAGGGTTTTTATGGTTTTAGGTTTTACATTTAAGTCTTCAATCCATCTTGAGTTAATTTTGTGTAAGATGTAAGGAAGAGGGGAGGCTCCAAGATGACCAAATATGAACAGCTCCAGCCTGCAGCTCCCAGTGTGAGTGATGCAGAAGGTGGGTGATTTCTGCATTTCCAACTCAGGAACTGGGTTAATCTCACAGGGGTTTGTCAGACAGTGGGTGCAGCCCACAGAGCAGGGCAGGGCATCGCCTCACCCAGGAAGTGCAAGGGGTGGGGTAATTCCCTTTCCTAGCAAAAGGAAGACATGACAGATTGCACCTGGAAAATTGGGACACTCCCGCCCTAATACTGCACTTTTCCAATGGCTTTAGCAAATGACACACCAGGACACTGTATCCCACGCCTGTCTCAGAGGGTCCCACACCCACGGAGCCCCACTCACTGCTAGTACTGCAGTCTGAGATCAAACTGTGAAGCGGCACTGAGGCTGGGGAGGGGCATCTGCCATTGTTGAGGCTTGAGTAGGTAAACAAAGTGGCTGGGAAGCTTGAACTGGGTAGAGCCCACCACAGCTCAAGGAGGCCTGCCTGCATCTGTAGACTCCACCTCTAAGGGTAAGGCATAGCTGAAAAAAAGGCAGCAGAACCTTCTGCAGACTTAAACGTCCCTGTCTGACAGCTTTGAAGAGAGTAGTGGTTCTCCCAGCATGGAGTTTGAGATCTGAGAATGGACAGACTGCCTCCTCAAGTGGGTCCCTGACCCTGAGTAGCCTAACTGGGAGACACCTCCCAGTTGGGGGTGACTGACACCTCATATGGCTGGGTGCCCCTAAGAGACA